TTCCTGCAGGCAAAAGACCAGGTAATGTTGTTTGTGCCTAATAGAAAGGCAGGTTTTTGCTAATATTTTTCTTGCATGAAGCCCATATTAACATATTTTTGGAAATGTGAAGGCATCCCTTAGCATCCACTTGCTCTTTTCTGAAAACAGGAGTTTTATAAAAAAGAAACCTGACTTTGTGGCACTAATTGTATCAACACAGCATCTGAGAGACTGAAATAAAGCAAGAGCTATGCAGTGTTTATATAACTAACAGTATCCAGAGGGCATTTCCAGACCCCATACTCTGAGATTTGGAGAACACTTGAAGGCTTGGACTGTGTTTTGCATTCAAGACACTCTTCTCCGTGTGCTTTGTAAGCAAGAACTCTGATAAGTTTTTTCCAGTTTTGGAAATTCAGGCTGCATGAGAGTGGGTTGTGTTTATATTATAGTCAAGCTGGAATGGATCCAATATGATTTAATTTAAATGTCTTTGTTTTGGGTATAACTTTGAGTTATTTTTCAAACAGAATGATCTTTCTTTCTTTCTTAAACCCATGAAATGTTTTTTTGTCCCCTTCTTGTTTAAATGTAGATAACTTTATAATTGACTTTAAGCTGGGAAACTTTCCAACAGAGTATAATTATTCTTTTCTTTTGTGCAATGCTTTTTATTAGTGCTACGAAGCTGGGCTAATGTCACAATACATAAAAACATGGAAAAAAGGAGACATGGTCTTTTGGCGTGGGCCATTTGGAGGGTTCCCATATCGACCTAATAAGGTTAGTTCCCTAAGAGACGGAGGATGTGGCAGCTAGCTTTGTTTAATACTCTAAGGGGAAGACATCAATTTGATTACTGTTTTCATGATTATTTTAGGCACTTCCTGGGTTACTATAGAGTGCAACAGCATTAGCAGTCAGTTGGAGAAAGTACACCTTATTGAACTGCAGACTGTTTCAGAAGGAAGAGGAGAGGGAGGTGGACAGGAGACTGGAAGACATTAGCATCTGTCACTTGTATTAGAAGCTCCTCATGTGTTAAACAAAGGGAACTTACTTTGCACCAGCCATGAGTGTGGATGGTTTTTCCCTTGTTTGAACCATGTTGCTGGTTTGTGCCTGAGCACAAGCAAAGGGGAAGTGTTGATCTTTTTATGTCTTGGGTATTCCCTGAATTGTAGCAGCTCCAGTGAGGTGTCGCGTCACGCAGCCGCCCTGCAAGTGTTGATCCCAGCCCGATACCAGGCTCCCTGCAAAGAGAGGCAGATCCAGTTTCAGGGGAAGGGTTTTCACACATACTACCTCAGTTACTTAATTATAACCTTTCAAATGAGGAGCAGAATTAAAATGCTGGTCATTAAGAGCCTTGGGGTTTCTTCCCCTCCCTCAATAAAAATAAGGCTATAAAATCCCAGTGGCCGAGTTCCATGCGGGGCAGTTGTGTTCTGCTTCCTGAAATACTCTTGTTGCTGGTTTAGGCTACTGTTCTCTTCTTAAAAGCTTCCAGATAATAATTTGGGAAAAAATGTGTCAGTCATACCTCAAAGTGGCTGTGTGCAGGGGCTGTCTGGGTGATCTGTGTACAGGCAGTTTGCAAAGCACCTGAGCAATCTTTAGAACAACTTGCTGTAGAAGAACTGTTTATTGTTTAGAAATTATAACATAGGTCTTCAGTATTAGTCTTTTCTTTTATCTCTATTTGGTGCCGGTAGAATAGGGCTCAGATTCAGGCAGGTCAGATCCATTCACAAAAAACTGCCCAGTCAGAACACAAGCAGCCTCTGAGTGCTCAGCAGGGGCTTAAGTCCCACTTCTGGCATTGATGCACTGGCTGACAGCAGGGGAGAGTTCTGGGAATCTTCTGTCCTTCTGCTCGCTGCACCTTCCTGTCTGAGCATCCCTATCCTGAGTAGAGTGAATGTCCCCACTTGTGGGTTGGAAGCACTATGTGCTGCTGGTAGTTCTTTGAGAAAAGTGAGATAATGCACCAGGAAGATCCATGAAACCATTTCCTCCAGAGACCGTTCAGGATTGTACTTTGCAGCATCCAAGATAAATACAGGGAGCATTTCCAGTGGGAAAACAATGCACAGTGGGGTCAGCAAAGCATAGTGCAGACTTGAAACTGCACTATAATTGAAATCAAAGCTAAAGTTAGGGTAAAATATTATATTTGGGTAAAATCCAGTTTTGTTAGATTGAATATATGGACCCTGGAAGTGCTCTCTGTAATCCTTTGCAGAAAAATACAGTCTGAGATTTGCATTTACCAGTTCCTGACCTTCTGATGTGTTCTCTCTTAAGGGATCCTTTACCAGTGCAGCAGCAGGAGGAGCTGACCATGAGCACATCCATTTCCAGTCCCCTCAGCTCATCCACACTTCTCTGTTCTGTTGTTAGCATGGAGAACTCCTCATGCTGGCGTCTGGTACTGGCCTCGCACCAATGCTTCCCATCCTCCAGTCCATAACAGATGATGAAGAGGATGAAACCTTTGTAACTCTTGTTTGCTGCTTCCCTACCTATGACAAAATTTATCTGAAACCTCTTCTCCGGGATCTGGCTCGATTCTGGAACATCAGAATATTTTATGTCCTAAGCCAGGTAAATAAATGGTCATGAAGCACGTTTGTGTGAGGGTTCTGTGTGGTGGATGAGCCTCTGCTTCCTCTGCTTTTCCATGTGCATGATCTTAATTCTTTACTAGCCATTGAGGCTATTTTGTGATCCAGTAGCTGCTGTTCTTAAATCTGGTACATATTCTTACTCTGCTGCTGATCTGAAGAATTTTAGGGAAGCAACCATTGGTTGCTGCTTGTCCCTCTTTGCTCTGTTGTTGCTCTGTGGGGATGGACTCACTGATTCAGAGTCACTGCTGGTTATTCCCCCACACACACTTCAGATGGTTGTTGCTCCACCTAAACATTCATGCAAAGAAAACTTGATTCTGGGAGACTCCCAACGAATAAACTATTTCTTCTTTCCTAGTATTAGTGCCTTAATCTGTCCTTATTCTCCATTCACTGCTCATGGCTAGAGCTCTCTTCTAGTATGTTAGCACCAACTTCCCAGCAATAATTTCTCCCAGCTGACCCATTTTTAAACTTCTTAAAGTTGTTTCCCCCTCTGTAGACTTATTTTCCCTGCCAAATCCATGGGATGAGGGCATACCCTCTCAGTGGTCTTACATTTTGAGCAGTCTTTTTCATTTCCGTTTGCTCCCAAAGTTGCCTGTGTTCTGCACGGAATTGGTGGTTGAAAATTACTTCCCTCAGAACTGAGGATTCATTGCAGGGAGGATATAGAAAGAATTATTTATGCTAAGGGAACGAATCCCATTGCATTTTTAGTCTCTCAGATGAATCATTTTTTTATCTCTCTGATAGTGGATGTGCCTCATACATTATGTTCCACATATGGCCTCAGCGAGTTGGGACTGGGTATAGGGAAAAGTACTTGTGACTTAGGCACCCCCTCAACTGCTCTATGGGAGGTAATTGTCTCTGGTGCCATAGCTTAAATACCCTTTGCAGGACAGGGTTGTCTCCAGAGCATGAAGAGGTCTTGAAATTCAATCAGTGAAGGGCAAGAAACCTACCTGACCCCTGTCAACACTGTCTGCCCTGTGTGTGTGCATCTCTCCCTTTCTTCTCTCAGGGTTTGTTATATTCCAACCCTGACTCATGTGTCCTCCCTTTTAGGATTATGCATCTGTCTGTCTCGGTATTTCACTCTGCTGCTTGTCACCACCACATCTGAGCACCTTCTTCTCATTAATAGGAGTAGGGCAGTCCCTGCTGGATCTAACATTTCTCATGGGATCAGAGCTATGCTTGGAGCAGAGCTGGCTTCTTCTGGGTTTGGTCAAGGGAGATGGGACTGAAAGAGACTTGGGAATGGGAGAGGCAACAGAGAGGAATAGACTTAGGACTTGGGAAGAGAAGAGGTGCACTGGGAAGTGGTTCTCAAAGGAGAAGGTTCTGCAGCATTTATTAGTGATAGAAATCTGGAGAGGAACTTTTTTACAAGGGCATGTAGTGATAGGACAAGGGGGAAATAAACTAGAAGAGATTTAGGTTAGATCTTAGGCAGAAGTTCTTCCCTGTGAGGGTGCTGAGGCGCTGGCACGGGGTGCCCAGAGAACCTGTGGCTGCCCCATCCCTGGCAGTGCTCAAGGCCAGGTTGGACACAGGGGCTTGGAGCAACCTGCTCTAGTGGAAGGTGTCCCTGCCCGTGGCAGGGGGTTGGAACTGGATGAGCTTTAAGGTCCCTTCCAACCCAAACCAGGCTGGGATTCTGTGACAGTGACACTCTGGTTTTGTTCAGTTCCCTCTGAGTGAGTGGCCAGGTCCTGCAGCAGGGATTTGATCTGGGCTTTGGAAAAGGAATGCAGCTCTTAGGAAGGGTCAGCTCTACCCAGAGAGTGCCACATCGGTGAAGAATGTCCTGTGCAGCGCTCTGGGGAGGAGGGAAGTTTGTTGTAAGCCTTCAGTTGTCCTGTTTAACACGACACACTGCAAACCTTTGTCTTTTCAGGAAACTTCCCTGGAAAAACTTCCCTGGAGCTATCAGGAAAACACATACACTGGTCGTCTCGATGAAGACTTGATGAAGACTATAATAAATTCCTGCCGAAGAAGGCCATTTGTATTAATCTGTGGCTCTTCTGCATTCAGTGAAGATATGAGTAGATATCTGAAAGCTGGAGGAATTGAAGAAGATTCCTGTTTTTTCTTTTAGCAGGGTATTCCTGACCTGAGGAACTGCAGGCTGAGCCTTGGACGTCTTTGTTTCTCTGCAGACATTGCTCAGAATTGGTTGTCTCAATGGACTGACTTCCTTGTGCATATGCTTATATAGGCCTTTGGATCAAATATTTATATCCAGTATGATTCTCACTCTGGAGTGTTTTAAGGAATGGGTGCCATTCCAGAGTGGCTGCTATGTGCTGTGCCACCCACACCTCAGGGAGCAGCATGGTAATGTTAATGGAAGCCTTCATGTGCAGTTTTAAGAGGGAGAACTCCTAAGGGCACTAAAAAGTATCCAAGTAGAGAGCTCTGCTGTAATATGAAGATCAGCAAGTTGCCTTGCAATCCATGTTAGTCTGCAGTGGTATTGTGCCCTGATAGGTGTCCAGGGGGAGAGGCTCAGTCCTCAGGGAGAAGAGTGCCTGGCCAAAGGAACAGCAGAGTGCTGGCCCAGCATTCTGGATCTCTGGGGTACGTTTTGGTTGTGTCATTATCTTGCTGAGTGATGCCAGGCGAGTCACTTCAACCTCTCTGTGCCTCAGGTGCCCTGTTATACACTAATACAGAGTAGGAGGCACTGATCTTCTCTGGAAAGAGCCTTTCCAGCCTGCATTACCTACCCTGGTCCTTACTGCTTGAAATGCTGCCTGGGGAGAGAAAGAGCATGTCCTAAACCAGAGAAAGCATCGAGGATGTAGCTGCTATCTGCCAGGGAGGATGGTTGTTTGCTTTCTGTGTCCCCTATGTGTTGTATCACAGCTCTGGTTCATTAAATTGAACCTCTTTCCAAATAAACAGCTGTTTCTTTTTCTCACAGGGTTCTCTCAGGTGCCCAAGGCAGTGCCATAGGCATACAAGAACACAACCTGAGGAGTGAAAGCTTCAGGGGGCTGTGCCTGAGTGCTCCCCTGTGGGGCAGGGGCCAGAGCCAAGGGCTGCCCTGGGGATGACAGAACCAGCCTGGGTGTCCCAGCCCCTTCCATTTCTGCTCAAGATGCTCCTCCCTTTCCTCTGAGATACCCACTTTTGGACCACTGTTTTTACTAACTACGCCTGGAACTACAGCCTTTCTGCACACCTTTGTGGTTTTCTGTTCATTCCCAGTTCATCCTGTGTTGGGGCTGCCCAGGCTGTGACAGGTGATGTTGTGTTATCATTTGTGCCTCATTTTTTACCTGTATTGAATAGTATATCCTACACAGAGGAGATGTAGTTTGAGAGTCACTCAAAATAAGCAATGTGCACTAAAATGGTGGCTCTGATTCACATGGTGGGAGGAACCATCGGTTCCCCTTTCATCAGTGAGATTTGTCTTCACTTACCAAATGCTTGGAATTAATCCAGTGTAGCTGCAGCTTCTTTATGTTAACTTCATCAGAGCAAGAGCTGACAGGAAAGCCAAAACAGGGTTCTGCAGAGAAATCCAGGGAAGTTCTCCATGGTAGGTCCAAGGCAAACTCTTGCCTCCCATCCAAACCGTGCTTCAGCTGCCATAAGCCACTGTGTGGTGGAGGTGCTTCTGCACAGCATGGGGCTGATATAAGGAGTTGCTTTATCTTTATTCCCCCTACTTGAGCCTTAGCTAGGAACACAAATATTTCCCTTGGATATTATATACTCTTAAACCCCTACTTCTATACCTCTTGCTTTAAATATTCTGCCTTTATGAGGCTTTGCTAAAAATCCTTTTTGCAGAGGCCTGAGGTATAACTTCACGCTCGCTTCGGGGAAGCGACGACTTTGTGTGTGAAAGCTGGGCCTGTTCCTTTAAACACAACCCCAATATGTCTGGGTATTTCAGCACATATGGGCCAGGATGGATAAACCCTCTCCAGCTGGTGTGGCCGTTCTGCTGCGAAGCCTCCCGTCTTTGTTCCTGGCTAAAAGGGAGGGTGGTGAGAGACGGAGCAAGCTGTGAGTGCCGCGGGTTGCAATCCTGCAGAGGCAGGCTGCAGGCAGAGCGGGAGGAGGTGATGCATGCCACGCCGGAGGGGACGGGGTCTCTGCGAGACACTCTCCATGGGGGAGACGGTGGCTTTGGAAGTACCAACTCAGAGGGGCCTTTAAACCACCCGTAGGCACTTTGTTCTTTATTTTCCACCCTTCTCTCCCTTCCCCCTCCTGCCTTTTGTCGTTTCTCAGGCTGGAGTCCCCTCTTCCAACCCGTCCCCCGTGGGGACAGCCCCTTTTAGAGGCTTGCATGGTGCTCCTGCAAAGACAGGGATGTGGGATGGA